CTTTGAGATAACTATCACGGTAGGAATCGAACTCGCATTCCGCCCTTTCAGGGCGCATGCTAACCATTTGCACTATCGTCGCCTGTTTTGCCACCACTCTTCTTACGCTACAACGCATCAAGCTGTCAGCAACTAACCGCCAACGGTTGGCCTGGCAAAGTGTATTAGCATTGATCCCAGTTAGCTATGTTGAAGTGCTGCAGAGTAGTAAGAGTGGTAGCAGAACAGGTGATGGTAGAGCAATTGGTTAGCATGCGGCCCTGGAAAGTGCGAACTGCAGTTTCGATTCCCGTGTGACGTCACTTTTGCACAACACTCAGCGTCATTAGGTATATTTGTAACATTATACCACCGCTAAACGCGGTTAAATAAGAAGAATTCTAGTTGATGACCATATTTCTTCAATTTTACTGTTTTCTAGCAGTGGTAGATGTTTAAACAATCATTTCAGAAGATTGAGTGGTACTCAAAAAATCGACCTCAAGCGGAAGGTTAATGCGCAGTCCACCTTTTCGAAGGCGCGTGAGGTTGATTTTTTGTGTACCACTGAATATTCTTAGATTGTTAAGAAAGGTTATGGCTCCAAATAAACCGGAGCAGTGTAAGGATACAGATGACGATAGGTTTTTGGATTTTAACTCTGCAAATTCCTGGGACCCAAACCGATGTGACGACTCAACATTACAACGTCTAGAATCTAAGCTTCACAGTGTTCTTAGTAGTTCGTCGGAGCTTCTACATCATCACGTACGCGGCGGTCAGGCGTTTGAAAGATTCGCAATGACGAGTGGTTCGTGCTTCCGTCCATCGGGAAGAAGGTTGCTGGTTCGACTCCGTGCCTCGGCGCTTCACTGTAGTATCTCAGTGTTACCTTTTTGTTTTCAGTACAATATGTTCAAATCACAATCAAACCATATCTCATCTAGTGATACCGTAACACGAACGATCAATATATATAGTTTATTCACCACCATATATTCAGGAAGTACAAGGAACTGTTTTGAAAGGCATATTAAACTGAAAACAAATAAGTAGATCATATAGATACAATTTCTCATTCTAAACTAAATTACATTAGAAACTACCACGTTTTCAATTATGGCGAAAAAAGTTGGATATGCGATGTTAGCCCATGGATGTGCGTTTTGTATCAAAAAGAAATGAGATGTTGGACAATTGGGCATTTTTTGCTGAAGAACCCTCGATATCAGTCGACATCAGAAAGATGACAACAAGAAAACTACAGTGAAGCGTCGTGGTGAGGAATCGAACCAGGAACCTTTTTAACAATGGACGGCAGCACGAGACACTTGCCTTTGTGGACTGCTTGCCACCGAACCGCCGCGTGTGTGACGAGGCAAAAGTCTGAAGAAACTACTAAGAACCATCTGGAGCTTAGATTCTAGAAGCTGTAATGTTGTGTTGCCCCATTAATTTGGGCCTGTGGAAGTCAAAGGGTTGAAAAAATTTCAGTTCTTCTAAAACGAAACACATTGAAGTCGTTTTCGAAACATCGTTAACATGTTCCGCGTCAGTGTTACTTAGCCGCTAATTCCTAGCCATACGTTTTACGCCTTCCTTCAGAACAGTAGGTAGACGTATATGAAAGGGGAAGCATGTGCTCTCCTTCTACTTGAAGAATTCTATTCTTTAGATCTACGTCCGCTCCAAGACGTCTCAGAGCACCTGTTGGTTCGCCTTCGCTTCCATTTCAGTAACCTGGGGAAATACAACATAATCTAGCGGCTGGCGATACCTCAGTGAAGAAGATCCGTATATATTGAACATATAACGTGAAAAGCTCTAGATGTCGAGCCGTCCTACATGATGGCACCATGCATTGCACTCCATTCAGTGTAACGAAAAGGAACGAATGCTTATTAAGTCTATACAATCTAGAAAAGCCAGATAATTATTCTTTGTGTCATGTATGTGGTCTGATATGGGGGCTTATAGACTGCAATAAGCGCGTTTCGGCCTTGCCAGCCTCAAAGTTGCATAGTGCCTTTCGTCTCAGCCAATCCGCCTTGAGGGAAACCCAAACCCTTACATAAAGGAGTCGCAGACGTATTTTACACGTGCTATCAAGTGAAAGAAATCAGTAAATGAGCAGTGTTGTACTCGATTGATCTTGGCTGGTAGTTCTGAAATATCGTATCGTTCGTTTCGAGTGTTTTCTTAAGACCACGCTCACCTGATAATTATAACTGATTACTAATTACGAACGGTATTATAATTCATAAATATTAGCTAAGAGCAATCAAGTGCACAACACTGCCTATTTAATGATTTCTTTCACTTGGTGGCACTTTCAAATAGTACGTCTGTATCTTTACACAAGAGGGATTGGCTTCTCTCGTGTGCGATTGGTTATGACAAAAGGCACTGTGCAACTGACGAAGCTGTCAAAACCGAAACACGTGTATTGCCCTGTATAAGTGCCCATAACAGACCACAAGCATGGCTCAAAAATCAGGCACGTTGAAATTTGAACGTGGTCTTAAGAAAACATTCGAAACGAACGACTAGAAGAACGATGCTGGTTTTAGTGTTGTATCCTTCAAAACAGATGTGATATCATACCTTTATTTCGAGTGCTTTATTGAGACCACCTCAAATTTCAATAAATCCTTTCATTAGTATTTGAGCCAACTTGTCGTGTGGTCTGATAAGGGATCTTGTACGGCCCCATACACGTGTTTCGTCCTTACAGATTCGTCAGTCGGGCAGAAGCCGATCTTAGGTGAAAACTGTGTTGGATGAGAAATTCGCTTGAAATAGAGTGTAAAACGTTCGTCTTCGATGACTCTCTGTAAGGGAGCAGAACTCCCGAGAGAACTGACTTTGAAAATATCGAAAGACGACGGGTCCTGCCCGACTGACGAGTCTGTAAGGACGAAACACGTGTCTCGGGCTGTACAAGAGCCCTTACCAGACCACATGACATGTTGGCTCATATAGTAATGAAAAGATGTGGTATTATTTGCGGGTCCGAAAACACAGGAATCATAATTTTTCCAGGATACGGATTGAAACCCCCGATCGGGAATGTACTGCGTTGTTGTGCACCTACAAACCACTGTGTAACACACGTCCTATAGTGAACAGGATGAGTAAAAACATTCAAACGGACGCACGTATTCAAAAATTTCCATGCCAGCACTGTTCCACTCTAAGGAGTCCCTCCAGCCCTTTGTCTTCTGACAGATTCTCTTTCTAGGGCGATTAGTTTTTCTACCCTCGGTGATCAGTCCGCTGATTGATCCTTTTCAGAAGAATTTACCTCGCTCTGCACTGCACACAACGAAGTTTATAGAGAACATAGATACTAACATAATAACTGGGAATTAAAGTGTGGAATTTCACTTCATGGTGAAAGATAGCGGAGTAGACAGTGATGCACACTCTCACTAAGCAATGTTCGGCATCCTCCCTCCACGCTTTCCTGCAAGTCCAGATATGTACGTCTTAGCTCGTCTATCCCCAGAGTCGCATGGAAAGTCGTTTCAACTAGCATTCTCCGACGTTCAAAAAAAAAAAGACGAAATTCCCAACCAGCAGCCAAAACGGCACGCGAAACGTTTGAGAACATTTGTAGAGAATAACTGCGGGGAAACTGATTGAACGTAAGAAGTGCTGGGATTTGAAGCACAGTATCGGCGTGGACGGGTCATGTATGGAAGATCTGATTCTACTATAGAGAATACAGCTGCAGTTAGAACCGAATAGTATCAAATTTAGCCTGAGAAAGAGAAAAGAAAGTTTAACGAACTCAAAAAAAGCATCGAGGATTTTGCGATCAGCTCAAAAAATAGGCGGTCTCGCGTCTCTTCTTCATATACTCATATCGTTGTTGGTTCAATATCGCGGCTTAGGTTATCCAAACTTCTCATTATTTCCGGGTTTACAAACTTGCACCACACTTCTCTGAAAGACCAAGAACACCGTTCATCTATAATTGGACATCTATATGTTATTATTGCATAGATCAAATATGTCCTTAGTTTCTTGTGAGATATTTGATGCAACCAGACGTATGGCGCATTGCTAAGAAACGATACAACTTTAGGTACTTCCTCTTATGGTGCATATTCAGTAAACTATTGGGTTGGCAAGAAATTCTCCGGACTTTTTCGCCCTTGTTAATTATTTTTTATAAATTGAGTGTTCGTTTTTACCATCGTTTAGAGCAGCTTTTCGCGGCTGTTTTGATATAGAACACTTATACATTTGTTTCTAAGATGGAATTTTCCCGAGAGCAAAGACGATTGTGAATGCCACACAAGTATCGTTTGGGTTGACACGCAACGATACTCGCGTAGCATCAACAATCGTCTCTGCTCTCGGGAAAATTCCATCTTGAAACAAATGTATGACTGTTCTATATCAAAACAACCCCAAAAATCCGCTCTAAACGACAGTAGAAACAAAAACTCAGAAGCGTGAAAAATAATCAATAAAAGCGAAGAAATGCGGGAGACTTTTCGCTAACCCAATAATCAAAATGGACTTACTTCACTCTATCCTTAGCTGCCTAACTGTAAAGCTACGTTGTATGTACGCAAAAAGCGAATAGAAACTTAAACCCACATCTGAAATAGAGCTGAACAAGAACTATTAACTAGAATTCGACTTACTAACCGGTTTAGCGGTGGCATGATGTTACAAATATATATCCACTAATGCTGAGTAATTTGCAAAACACTGGACGTCGAACGGGATTCGAACCCGCATCTCACCCTTTCGGAAAGCGTTGCTACCATTGTATCACAGGCACTCCTTTTGCCATCACTCTTTCGGCGACACAACGGTATGGATGTGTCAGCAACAAACCGTGAACGATTTGGCTTGGTAAGCCGATGTCGGCATTGAAGCCAATCACGCTAATAGATATTAGATATTTGTAATATCAGCTGGAATTCGATCTACTAACCGCTTTTCACGGTGGCATGATGTTAGAAATATGTATAACCAACAGTGTTAAAGGATGCATGGAACTTCGGACGTCGGACGGGATTCGAACTCGCATTTCACCCTTCCCGGAGGCGCGTGCAAACCCTTGCACCACCGGCTCTCTTTTTGCCGTCACTCTTTCGCCCCGCCAGAGATGAAATGCGTTTCGAATCCCATCTGACGTCCAAAGTTTTGCGTATCACTCAATAGTATTGAATAAGCTGAATAAGCTTTGTAATGTGGATGTATTCAATACATATGGTATCTCTCCACTCATGCCCAACCCTCTCATGAAAGATCTTGACACTGGTGGCTCCCCATAGGGCGTTCCTTGTTGACCGCCGGATAGAGCCGTGGAGTGGAGCTCAGCTCACACGATACGCACGCCGCGACAAGCCTCACAACCACACGGCCACGGCGCCCCACATATGAGCTCACTTATAATAAATAAAAGCTTCCATTAAATCTCGTTAACTAACAAGTATTTCCTTCCAACATCACTTCGCCCTTTCACGACTAACACATAGATTTTTAGCTTACTCTTTACTCTTCAAACTTATTCGAAGAAATTTTAGACTCGCTGCGGGGGAAGTTCGCCCGTCATTCCCTGTAATTTGGCTCAAACAAGCCCTTATAATACTCAAACGAGTAAATGACAATAAATATCCCATACGAACTGATGTTACAAGGGCTCTTTTAATGTGATTTTCAGACATCATCGCCTTGAACACACAGAAAATGTACGAATACCTCCGGATTTTTCGTTTCGAGTGTTTTCTTAGAACCACAGCTCAATTTTTCAAACTCAAATCTCAAAAAATGATTACCAGGCATATTGAAATTTGAGCTGTGGTCTTAAGAAAACACTCGAAACGAAAGATTTATAGCCTGAGCCTCAGCCATAGCCTAGGCCTAAGCCTCAGCTTCAGTCACAGCCTAAATCTAAGTCTGAGCTAAAGCTTAAGCCTCACACCGAGCCTCAGCCTCAGCCACACTCACAATCTAAGTCTAGGCATCAGCCTAGGTCTAAGCTTCAGCCTCACCCACAGCCTAAGCCTAAGTCTAAGACTAAGCCCAGGCCTCAGCCTCAGATATAGCCTAAGCCTGAAATTATGTTTTGAGCCACGCACATCAGTGGCCTATGAAAGAGGGCTGACTTTTAGAGCCTGATACACGTGTTTCGATCTTGCTATCTCGTTGGTGGGGCAGTTACCCTTTCTCGTCTTTTGCCAATACTTTGTGGGTGCTCCAGTCGCGACACTAACTAAGGGTTAGCGACGACGAACCTTTTACACTTTATGTTCAGTGAGATTTGATCTGTCGATTGGTTGATGAAACTGCGAAGGGAAAGCTTTGATCAGCGAGGAATCTTTCCATGAGCAACAAAATTTTATTTGTGCTCTCTCGGAGAAATAAGTAGGCTTTTCCAAAGAAAGCATAAACCATTCAAATTGTTTTGACTTGTGCTATCGAATGATTATTTGAGCATTGCAAAAGACTAAGAAACGCGTTGTTTGCAAGGGGACGAACTGGCGCTTGGCTATAGGAATGATCCAATTCCGAGCGAATAGCCCAATCAAGGCAAAAACAGCTACTTAATGATACGAGAAAAGAAGGATAAATAGAACCAAATCAAGAGATCCTCTATAATTGAGGAATCTCTGAAAAAAACTGTCACGGTAGGAATCGAACTCGAATTCCACCCTTTCAGGGCGCATGCTAACCATTTGCACTATCGTCGCCTGTTTTGCCACCACTCTTCCTACGCTACAACGCATCAAGCTGTCAGCAACTAACCGCCAACGGTTGGCCTGGCAAACTGTATTAGCATTGATCCCAGTTAGCTATGTTGAAGTGCTGCAGAGTAGCAAGAGTGGTAGCAAAACAGGTGATAGTAGAGCAGTTGGTTAGCATGCGGCCCTGGAAAGTGCGAACTGCAGTTTCGATTCCCGTGTGACGTCAGACTTTTGCACAACACTCAGCGTCATTGGGTATATTTGTAACATTATACCACCGCTAAACGCGGTTAAATGAGAAGAATTCTAGTTGGTGATCTACATTTCTTCAACTTTACTGTTTTCTAGCAGTGATGCTTAAATATTTCATTTCAATATTGAGTGGTACTCAAAAAACCGACCTCAAGCAGAAGGTTAATGCGCAGTCCACCTTTTCGAAGGCGCGTGAGGTGGATTTTTTGTGTACCACTGAATATTCTTAGATTGTTAAAAAAAGTTATGGCTCCAAAGAAACGGGAGTACTGTTAGGATACAGATGACGATAGGTTTCTGGATTTTAACTGTGCCAATTCCACAGACCCAAACTGATGCGACGACACAACATTACAACGTCCAGAATCTAAGCTCTTAGTAGTGTCGTCGGAGCTTCTACATCATCACGCACGCGGCGGTTAGGCGTTTAGTGATTCGCAGTGACGAGTGGCTCGTGCTGCCATCCATCGGAAAGAAGGTTGCTGGTTCGACTCCGTACCTCGGCGCTTCACTGTAGTATCTTAGTGCTATCTTTTTGTTTTCAGAACAATATGTTCAAATCACAATCACATCATATCTCATATGGTGATATCGTAACACAAACGATCAATATATATAATTCACTTACCACCTCAAATTCAAGAAGTACAAGGAACTGTTTTGAAAGGCATATTAAACTGATAACAAATAAGTAGATCATATAGATTCAATTTTTCAGTCCAAACTAAATTACATTGAGAACTACCACGTTGTCAATTAGGGCAAAAAAAAGTTGGATATGCGATGTTACCCTATGGATGTGCGTTTTGTATCAAAAAAGGAATGAGATGTTTTACAACTGAGCATTTTTTGTTGTGAGAATTACTTACAGAAGAACCCCTTGATATCAAACGACATCAGAAAGATGACAACAAGAAAACTACAGTGAAGCGTCGTGGTGGGAAGTCGAACCAGGAACCTTCCTAACAATAAACGGCAGCACGAGACACTCGTCACTGTGGACTGCTCGCCGTCGAACCGCCGCGTGTGTGACGAGGTAAAAGCTCCGAAGAAACTACTAGGAACAATCCGAAGCTTTGATTCTGAAAGCTGTAATGTTGTGTTGCCCCAATAATTTGGGCCTGTGGAAGTCAAGAAACGTCGTTAACATGTTCCCTGTCAGTGTTACTTAGCCGCTAATTCCTAGCCATGCGTTTTACGCCTTCCTTTGAAACAGCAGGTAGACGTATATGAAAGAGGAGCATGTGCTCTTCTTCTACCTGAAGAATTCTATTCCTTAAATCTACGTACGCTCCAAGACAGCTAGAGCAACTGTTGGCTCGTGTTCGCCTCCATTTGTCACTCGAAGAAATGCAACATAGTCTAGCGGCTGGCGATACATCAGTGAGGAAGATGCGCAGATTTTGAACATACAACGTGAAAAGCTATAGATGACGAGCGAGCCGTCCTATATGATGGCACCATGCATTGCACTCCATTCAGTGTAACGAAAAGGAACGAATGCTTATTAAGTCTATACAATGTAGAAAAGCCTCATAATTATTTATAAGTCATTTATGTGGTCTTCTATGGGCGCTTATACACTGCAATAAACGCGCTTCGGCCTTGTTGGCCTCGCAGTTGCATAAAGCCTTTCGTCTTAGCCAATCCGTCTTAAGAGAAACCCAAACCCTTACATAAAGGGGGCGCAGACGTACTACTTACACGTGCTACCAAGTGGAAGAAATCACTAAATGAGCAGTGTTGTACACTCGATTGATCTTGGCTGGTAGTTTTGAAATATCATATCGTTCGTCAAGTGTTTTCCTAAGACCACGCTCAAATTTCCATATGCGTGATTATTATAACTGATTACTAATTACGAACGGCATTGTAATCCATAAATATTAACTAAGAGCAATCGAGTGTACAACACTGCCTATTCAACGATTTCTTTCACTTGATGGCACGTGTAAATAGTACATCTGTATCTTTACGGTTGGCTTTCCCCATGTGGGATTGGTTAGGACAAAATGCACTGTGCAACTGACGAGGCTATCAAGACCGAAACACGTGTATTGCCCTGTATAAGTGCCCATAAGAGACCACAAGCATGGCTGAAAAATCAGGCATGTTGAAATTTGAAAGTGATCTTAGAAAAACACTAGAAATGAACGACTAGAAAAAATGATGCTGGTTTTAGTGTATTATCCTTCAAAACAGATGTGGTAGCAATTTGCGGGTCCAAAAGCACTGGGATCATGATTTTCCCAAGATTCGGATTGATACCCCCCGATCGGAAAATATACTGCTGCGATGCTGTGCACCTCCAACCACTGTGTAATACACGTTCTATAATGAATAGGATGAGTAAAAACATTCAAACGGACGCATATAATCATCAATTTCCATGCCAGCACTGTTCCACTCTATGGAGCTCCTCCCGCCCTATGTCTTTTGGAAGATTCTCTTTCGAGGGCTATATGCTTTTCTACCCTCGATGATCAGTCCGCTGATTGATCCTTTTAGGAAGAATCTATTTCCCACTGCACTGTACACCACGAAGTTTGTAGAGATGTTCTGGCTGCATACTAACACAAGAATAGAAAGGATAGCGGAGTAGATAATGACGCACCCTCTCAGTAAGCAATGTTCGGCATCCGCCGTCAACGCTTTCCTGCAAGTCCAAAGTGGACGCCTTAGATCGCCTATCGCCAGAGTCGCACGGAGAGTCGTTTCAACTAGCATTCTCCGACGTTTATAAAAACAAAAGACGAAATTCTCAAGCAGCAGCCGAAATGGTACGCGAAATGTTCGAGAACATTTGTGGGGAATAACTGCGGGGAAAACGATCGAACGTAAGAGTGCTGGGATTTGAAGCACAGTATCGGCGTGGACGGGTCATGTATGGAAGATCTGATTCTACTATAGAGAATACAGCTGCAGTTAGAACCGAATAGTATCAAATTTAGCCTGAGAAAGAGAAAAGAAAGTTCAACGAACTCAAAAAAAGCATCGAGGATTTAGCGATCAGCTCTAAAAATAAGCGATCTCGCGTCTCTTCTTCAAATACGCATACGTTGTGATTCAATATCGCGCCTTAGCTTAACCAAGTTCCTCATTATTTCCGGGGTTTACAAACTTGTACCACACT